GCAGCCAGGAGCCCAGCTGAGGGCTGATACGAGAGGCTTTGCTGATGTACCAATACGCTCCTGTTCTTTCTCTAAGAAACCGTACGGCCCCGGAGGCCTGAGTTCACATATACCTCTGTCCTGTGCAGGCTGTGTGGCCTTGAGGAAGTTCACTAACTTCTCTGAGCTTCTCTTTGTCCATTTAGACAAAGAGTGTCCTAACTTGAACCTTATCAACTGGTCATGAGAATTCTCCTTTGAGCTCGGGTACATGAGGGTAAAGACTTGAAGACAGCTGTTGCCTCAGGACGGAAGGTTGAGAGTAGGCTGTCCCCTATCCGAGGGCATGCTCTATAATCAGACAAAACAAAGGATGAACAGCCCTCTCCCCTTCTTAGAGGCTGAAGCGCTCACCCATGTCCACCGGACAGTGAGAAGCTGCTGCGGAGATGGGGTCTCCTGTCCTTGAAGTCTATCGGCAGATCTCAGGAACCCTCCCCAGGAAACCACAGGCTTCCCCTGAAGCAAAGCCCTCAGCCCCCCTCCCCCCCGCCCCGCCCAGTGTTGTCTCAGCCACGTGAACAAGCCAGGGCTGTCTCCTGAGACCACTGTGGCCCCAGGCCCCATGGCCATGACCAGGGAGGGGCACGGAGCTGGGCCTTGGGGTCCTGGGCCCTGTGATTCTGCCTGTGGTGATTCCTCCTTCACCACCATCCTGAGGGTCCTAGAATCAGAGTGGACCCCGCTGTCCTGATCCCCATAGGTTTCCATACACTATCTGCTTTTTATCACAACAGTTACCAAAGACTCAGTTTCGCGAAGCTGATGGCCTTGAAGGAAGGCGGTCCTCCCAAGGTGGAAACCATCGGTTACCTGGCGTGAGTGGTTTTCCCAGTGGCAGCCGACAGGGGTCAGTATCATCACGGTGGGTTCCCGCAAAAACTCAAACCACGTGCCGCGAGTTCTCTGGGGTACCCCAGGGTGCCTCGGCACACAGTTTGGGAACTGCGGGTTTACATTACTCTTAAGACGTTGACAGCTGGTGTTCAGGGCAGGACCCCAGAGGTAGGTCAGCACAGGGGGGGAAACCGAGGCACGCGGATGTTACCTTGCCCAAGGTGCACAGAACTGGGAAGTGGTGGGGCTGGGATTTGAACCCAGGCGGTCCACACTGTGCCCTGGGCTGCTCCAAGGAGGCTTTCCCTGTAGGGGTGGGAGAAACAGGCTGCAGATCCTGGCTGTGCTTTCTCTCTAGGTGTGTGTGTGGTGGGGGGGGCACTGACCAGCTCTAGATGCTGTGTCTTCTGCTGTGAAATGGACAGTAAACTTCATTCACTGTGGCACCGAAAGGGTTATGGAGATGATGCGTGTAAAGCTGGGGGCTCAGGACCCAACAGAGGACCAACCTCTGATCTCCTCCTCACGGCGCCCCCACCCTCCTGTGTACAAGAGCCCAGCAGGCAGCAGGGGGCAGCACTGAGCCGCCGAAGACCATTCTCTGCTGGACTTGGGGGGGCTCCTGACCTCTTCAGGGTCTGGTCCGTTTCGCCAGGATGTTTTTGCGAAGCAGGAGCACAGTCTCAGCCTGGCGGATGAACGGACAGGAGAGCAAGGCAGCGGGTGCACATTCCTCTCTGGACGCTGCAGCCCAGGTCCTTGCTCCCTGGTGCACCATGAAGTGAGTTGTTGCGTTAAGATATTTCTGATGCATGAAGGCCCCTCCCCCGGCCCCTCCCCCCACCCCTCACCGAATCATCCCCTGGAAAATATTAGAGAACACACCGCTGCTAGAAAGTTGGTCTGACGTGTGTCTGATGAGGAACCGCTCAGAAAAAGGCCCCCAAAATGCCCTTTACATAAAAGATGTGTGTCTTGCCTCTTGCATTGGTTTTGGGAATTGAGTCCTCGCCAGTTGTTTTTTCCGTATTGTGGGAAGACTCCATCCTGCTACAGTGGAAGCGCCCTCACGGGTTTGGGAATCCATGCCCGTCCTAGAGGGGGCTGCCGATGGGTGGAGAGGCCGCCTGGGTGCGTGGTGTCTACACCGCGGGCCTCTGCCTGCGGTTGGAATGGGTGGCCGGCCAGCCTGGGCCCCTCTGGGCCCTACGGGGCTCCTGTAGGCAACTGACTTTGAGGGGTATTATTCCTGTCAACTTGCAGGAGGCCCAGGACTTGGGGGTCCCCAGCTGTCCCATGGGGTCTGGCCAGTCCACACTCGTCCCTCTACTGCCCCAAGTCAGGGAGGGGGTAACAGGACCATGTTGCCACAACCATTTTAGTTCACTGGCTGTTTGTGTTCTTTTCCAGCGATGCTAAAGCTTGGGTCCCATGAGTAGTTAGGTATCCATTGTAATTTTCATTGTCCGAGCTGTAGGGGGTGGATCGGTGATGACTGCGTTGATGAGGGATTGCATTTGATTTGCATGAAAGAAGACATGTCACCGAGAGAGTGGGGTGCGCTGCTGGTGTCAGGGACTGCTGGGGATGTTGAAGGCGAGTCAGAAGCCTAGTTGGGCACCGTTGTGAGGGAGTTACGTTCCTGTCTCCTGTGTCCCTTTCTCTTGGGACAAGCTGAGCAGTTCATTCGCTTGCTGAGCCGTCTTCAGAGTACCTGTGATTGACAGCTGCCCGCCTGCAGCCTGGACGGGCGGACTTGGCTTCACGATTTCGCCCCTAACACTGAAATCCGTTCGGTTCGCCGAGGCCTGCCGTGGGCTCCGCTGTCCCCTGCCCACGTGCCTTTCTCCGTGTCACGTCCTGCGTTGCTCTCCTCCACCCAGTCTTTCCTCCACCCAAGACTGATTGTGTTCCCGAACCCCACCGTACTGAAGACAGCCCCCCTAATCCCAGCACGTACCTGGAAGATGCCCGTGTTCTAGATTTTTCCACTAATACCCCCAACTTTTTCAACTTTCTCAGTGTGGTTGTCTTTGTCGAAGTGGTGACAAACCAGGGTCGGTGGATGCTGCTGTTCTGCAGACTTCTGTAAACGGGAGAACCTGCCCGGCCGGTGTGGCTCAGTGGCTGAGCGTTGACCCCTGCACTGAGAGGTCGCCGGTTCGATTCCCGGTCAGAGCACATGCCCAGGTTGTGGGCTCGAACCCCAGTGGGGGGCATGCAGGAGGCGGCCAATCGATGTTCTCTCTCATCGATGTTTCTATCTCTCTCTCCCTCTCCCTTCCTCTCTATCTCTCTAAAAAATCAATAAAGAAAAAATAAATAAAAAAAAAACAGGAGATACTGTGAGACCAGGCGTCTGACCAGCCCTGGAAGCGGCTGTTTTGAGCCCCTTGAACTTCTAGCTTGCTCCAAGTCCAAGCAACAGAGCAGGGCTCTGCTGAGCGAGACCCAGCCCATTCCTGGGATACGTACCATTCTCTTTTTGCTCTTTTCTCTGTCGAACAACATCCCTTACGAACCATCCTCAAGGGGGTTATCTGGAGGCCTTGCTTCCTCTCTGTAACGAGAAGGCGTGGCTTCATTGGAAACCAGTTGCGTTCCTGTCCGTGGTTTCTTGCATTGTGGTTCGTGACTCCCACAGGTGTTAAGAAGGCTGGGTGTTGACTGTTTGGTTTGATGCCGAGTCCTCATTTCTGAGACTACTGCTTGGCCCATGGAAGGAGCTCAGCAATGTCGGTTGGATGGATGGTTGGGTAAATGTTCGTTTCCATGATGACGTCACTGGGAAGTTCAGGCTGATTAGTCTACCTCTGGAAACAGACCCGAATTACCCTCCACTGGACTCGGATTCCCTCTGGTGTCATTTGTCTCGACCTGATCTTCATGTGCCCTTGTGACCTGGTGGCACCCACCCTCCACGCCGGCTGCTTGGGTAGCATCGGCACACGTGTTGATTGTCCCCAGAGACAAACCACTGTTGATGGAAGGAACACCTCTTTACTCTTTTTTATCTCCAGGTTCCGGAGAACTGTCTACGCTTGGGAAACACCTACCAGACTGAAATTTAGTTCAGTGGATAGAGACTGGGGGGTGGGGGTGATTTGAGCTCTTTTTCCGAAATGATCTAAGAGATTTGTGCAAAGTTCTAGACACTGTATCTAGGCATGTGCCGAGGATCATCTTTTTAAGTCTGCAGAGCTTGACTCCTGAGCAACCGTTCAAAGAATAACAGAGAGCAACTCCCAAATCCGGGGGGGGGGGACTGCAAAATGGAAAGCAATACCTGCCTAATCAGATGCTCCCAAGCACGATGTCCGCTTTGTTACTTGCTAAATTCAATGCCCGTAAACACATCATCACGTTTGAAAGTAATTTGTGGCTTCAATTTTTCTCGATTTACAAAGATTCCTGAGTTTGCAGAATGAACGCTTATGAAGTCTTAGCCAGCCATAAATTAAACAAATTGTATAACGCCCAATAAATGGAAAGAGCAAAGTTATAAAAATCCTTTCGAAAATGTTTATGGCAGGAAAAGGGTTTGGTGATAGATGTGTCTGTATTTTCAGATGTTTCATATGATGGGGGGGGGGTAGAGTCCTCTAAAAGTAAGTTTACTTGGGGCCCACAAATATTTTTTTAAATTTTTTTTCTTATTTTTTAGAGAGAGAGGGAGAGAGAGAAACATTGATGAGAGAGAACATCGATTGGCCGCCTCCTGCACGCCCCCCACTGGGGATTGGCCCACAACCTGGGCATGTGCCCTGACCGGGAATCAAACCGGCGACCTCTTGGTGCATGGGTCAACGCTCAACCACTGAGCTGCACCAGCTGGGCAAGGGCCCACAAATATTTTTAAATGACCTACCAAAATATTGTAGAATTCCTGCACAATACAGATCGCCTCAGTAGAGCTTCCAAAAATCAGAAATACACACTTTCCCCCTCTAGGAGTTGTAGGCAAATTCCTATAATGTCGTTTGTATAACCAGACATCTCCTCTGATTGATGTCAGTCAATTTCCTTGACCTTTGATTGTTTTGCTCATTGAATGACCTCTGTTTTTTAATCTAATCTTTGTTCCATCTTTTTTTTTTTTCTTTTTCTTTTTCTTTTTCTTCCAGGCATCCTGTTCACAATGCTGGTATTTGGCCCAGCCTGTGGATTTATCCTGGGCTCTTTCTGTACCAAAATCTATGTGGATGCTGTCTTCATTGATACAAGTAAGGAGCGTCTCCCAGTTCCTGAGCGTAATCCACCAGCCTTCCCTCGCTGCCTTGTGAAGAGGTGTGAGCCCTAAGGCCTTTCTGCTGAGCAGTAGCCTCAAGGCAGGCCCCCTGTGGAGTGCTGGTGGCCTCCAGAGACTAGGACAGGGCAGGAGGTTCAGAGGACCTGGGCTCACCAGTCTCTGCGTGGAGGCTCAATAACTTCCTTCCCTTGATTTCACTCCTCCTCCTTAAGCGAATGGGGGTGGTACCCATGCCTTCCTCACAGGGCACTGTCAGAATCGCATGGGAGGTGGGTGTGCAGATGCCTGGCGTGTCCACCTGCTCACTGAGCGCTGGTCCATTCACCACGTGAGGACCCACCGCCCCGTCGAAGCCAAGAGTGGGAGCGGTGTCCCCGCAGCGCCGGTGTACCTATGGGCTCGATAGACGGCATCTTTCTCGTTCTTCCCTGTCCGACGCTGTTGCGGTGGCCTTTAGAAGGAAGAGGACCGTGTTTCCAAACTGTTTCAAAGGCGACCTTCTGTGTTCTTCGCAGGAAGAGCGAGTTTATTCCTCAGATTGCTCCAGGCCCCTGATCCTTGGCGCCCTTGGCTCCATCCTGCTGCGGGGATGGCGAGGTTACGTAGTGCTCACGTACTGCTCCGGGTCTGGGTGGCTTCACACACCCAGTTTATTTCTCTGTCGCACTGCATGTCCAGCGCGGGCTGGTGGTGCTGGGGAGGGTGACGTTTGGCTCATGGTGGGCACAGAAGTTCCCTCCGACCCCAGCCCGCATAGTTGCCAACGCAGGAAACCAGACTGTGGCCACTGCACTCTCGCTCTGGAAGCTTCTGCTGAAAAATGATACATTGTTTCTACTCACAAGCAGCTGAAGCAAGTCACAGCATGTATCAGTTGTCTGTGGCTGCGTAACAAATCACCCCAAGCTTAGCGATTTAGAACAATAGCAAGGTGTCTCGGGGCTGTGTCTGCGGGTCTGGAATCCAGGGGCGGGGCAGCTCAGCTGAGGGGTCCTGGCTCAGAGTCGCACGAAGCTGCAGTCAAGGTGTCATCTCGGTCTGCGGTCATCCGAAGGTCCGCTTTCAAGCTCACGTTCCTGGGTCCCTCCACTCCAACCTGCCCTGGAGCTGACAGCCCTGGAAAGGACGAGAGTGAGCACCGGAGACAAAAGCCACAGTGTTTTTATAACCCGCTCTCAGAAGTGACATCTCGGGGTTCCTGCTGCATTCTGTGTGTGTGTGCACGTGCGTGTGTGCATGCATGTGTGTGCACAGGAAGCCGGCCAGGTGTTCAGTCTGTGCTCAGGAGACGGGATCATCATTCAGGATGTGAACGCCACGGGCTGAGATCGTTGGAGATGATCCAGTCACTGCCTGTCGTAAGGGACACACCTCCAGCCTGAAAGAGGACGCTTCATCCCTGAGCCGTTCAGTGAGCCGAGAAGCTACGTGGCCTTTGTCTCGGAAGCAGCGGGAAGCATTTCCAGCTTCTCCCACCACCCTCGGGATCGATAAGCACTCAGTCCCTGCTCTCCATCCGTCATCCCTCGACAGTGCTGAATGTACTAATTCACCCCAAAGAAATAATGCAGCTTTAAATCCAATCAAGTCACTCTGCGATTCACTCCATTAATCCCACTGATATATTTACTTGTAGCTAATGATGTTACAAATTTCCAAGTGGGGGAAAAAAAAAAAAGAGGAGAGAAGACTCAAACGCAGCCTTATTTATTTGTTCTTTTAAAGTGCCGGGTCTGTTTGCGGGGGATCGATGCTGCCGTTTTGCAGAAGTTGGTTGGTCCTTTGGACCCTGTGCCCAGCAGGATGAAAGTCAGAGAAACAAGACATGGAGCAAGTCAGCTGCCATCTTACTTATATGGACCAAAAAAAAAAAAGCCACCTTTGCCAAAGGCCACCCGAGACGGGAGGAGCTGGCGGGAGTGGGAAGGGGGTGCACCGTGATGGGCAAAGCTACCTGGATAAACCTCGGGGCCAGGCAGCATGTCGGCCCGCGACATCTGAGCAGTGGCTCTCTTGAATCAAGGCCTGTGGATAAACCATCTCTGATCCAGAAAGAACCTTAGACGTCATTCTCTTCCATCTCCGTCATTACGCAGATGAGCAAACAGGCTGCGAAAGGGACAGGGATGTCCCCGATCCAAGGGAGCATCTATGCAACCCAGGGATCTGGAGTTGCTGTGAAGGCATTTCTATCTCAGGAGTCCCAACCCCAAGCTCTGTCCTGGGGACAAAATAGCATCTTGGTGCCTGGAGTGACCCAGGAGTGGACAAGTGGCTGGAGGCAGCTTAGCTTGTCCACTCAGTCCCCTCAGCATGCCATGGCTTTGCCCAGGCTGTTCCCTCAGCCACGAGTGCTGTCCCGACTTCTGTCCGTCACCTGTCATCCTCCAAAGATCGGTGCGAAGCCACCTGACCCACGAGTCCAGGCTCACCGGCATTTTGAAGCGTCCCCAATGGGCACATTTCCGTCCGCCTTGCTGACGACAGCCGTTCCCCAAGGAGCTGGTGCTGGGTTCTGACCCCATGTGTCTCTGAGGAGGGGGAGGGGCGGATGCCTGAGTCCTTAGTCTTTGTCTGCATCCCCCCGAAGGCCACCGAGTGCCGGTGCTGCTGTGCACCAGCAGAGGGCAGCAGAACACACGGTGTTCTGTGAAGGAGCAGCCACAGGTTCCGGAGTCCCCAGCAGTCTTGATTTTTCTAACCCTGTGACTGAAACTCGTTCTGTCTCTGGATGGATTCGGGCTGTGTTTTAAGAAGGGGGTTCTTGCCCTGGCCGGTTTTGCTCTGTGGTTAGAGCGTCGACCTGCGGTCCAGAGAGAGCCGGGTTCGGTTCCCACTAAGGGCATGTACCTCGGTTGCAGTTTGTCCCCGGCCCTGGATGGTCGTGCAGGAGGCAGGCAATCGATGTGTCCCTTCACATCGATGTTTCTCTCTCTCTCCCTCCCTCCCACTCTATTTGAACAAAAAAAGTGGAAAGGTGTCCTCGGGTGAGGATTAAAAAAAAAAAAAGGGCTTCCCAGGTTTTTTTTTTTAGGGATGTCCCTCCCCTATTGTCTCACTGACTTCAGACAGAGCCCCTCATCAGGACTGTCCAGTCCGTGGAGCGTGTCCTTCAGCATAACCACATGGGAGACATGCACCCAGCCACACGGTCTGAGAGTCCCGCTGAGAGCCAGGCGGGTCGGGGAGGGCAGTGGCCAGGCACTGGAGGGTGTGGGCCTGTTAGGGGCAGGTGAAGGCGGGAACATGCCTACCCAGTACAGCCTGGCAGAGGACGCAGGGCTAGGGGGGAGGCCCGTGAGTCAGTGAAGAGGGGTACGGGACAGGCGGAGGGTTGTAGGGCCGCCCGCTATGGGGTGGAGAGACCCCAGGGACTGCTCCCCGGGAGAGTCCCCCTGGAGACCAGTCTAGAACAGATCCTGGAGAAAAGGACTTGCCCTGGCCGGTTTTGCTCAGTGGTTAGAACATCAGCCTGCAGACTGAAGTTGCAGGTTCGATCCCTGGCCCAGTTGGCGTTATGCGGGAGGCAATCCATCGATGTGTCTCTCTCACATCGATGTCTCTCTCTGTCTCTCTCTTCCCCTCCTTCCGCCCTCCCACTCGATGTAAACATCAATGGGAAAATAACCTCTGGTGAGGATTAAAAAAAGAAAGGACTTGGTAGAAGAGTGTACCCAGGCATTGAGCTGCCCAGCCTCACACGGCGGGCCGTCAGAGAAGGGGCTTGCTAACCGCACCCCCATGGACCACTTACCAAAGCTGCCTCGTGAGAACCTCAGCAGCCTCCATGGGGACTCGGATGTCACCTAACCGACGAGGTGTCCCCGTGCAGTGGTGACTTCTGCATGCGGCCAGTGAGCCAGGCCTCTGTTTGCGTCCCAGCTACACCCGACAGGCCGTGTAGTCTTGGGGACATGGCTCCGTGTGTGGGTGATGTGCGTTAATCACGCGCCGTGTGTAGTGTGGCGTGAGTACGCAGTAAAGTCGTGTGTGATGAGGGACCGGAGAGGTTGACTTTTCCCCACTGCTGGTAGGAGTCAGACCCCAGGCCTGGCTGGCTCCAGACAGCTTGCCTCCCTGAAGCCTCTAGGAACAGGGCTGACACCTGCCCTGTGCTCGGGCAGAGATGCCCTGAGCTCCCGGCACGTCCGTGCAGACGGCTCCGAAGCCGTGTACCAGCCAGGCCCGGACCAGCTGCGTGGTGTTTGCAGCTGGGACACGATATGCCCGTCTGTGGCCTCCCGGGAAAGGTCAGCCAGCTGTGCACCCCTGTACGGCCCCTGCAGGGCAGACTGCTGTCCCCAGACTCCTTCACATCAGGCTAATTAGTCCCACAGCTGGGATCCTGAGTGTTCCTCGTTGCTCTCCATCCTCAGCCCCTTCCTGCCTCCACTTCCTAATTAGGTCTCTAACTTAATGATACTGTTGGAATCCTTGGGTCCCATAGCAAAAGTTTCACAAACTAGGTTAGGCAAATAGGTAAATGGACTGAAAAAAAAAATAGTCCAAAAACTGCCCAGAGAGCCATAGTACCGCTTACCCATCAGTACTGCCTGGGAGTAGGAAGTAAGTGTCCCCAATTTGCCAAGATCTGCCCTCCTCCCAGTCTTGGGTGTCCTCGTGGGTGGGTTGGTTGGTTGGTCGGTTTACAGCTGGTTCAGCCCTACTTCCAGTGATTTTTTTCTTTCGAACCTATAATGGGAACGGTGGTTGGAAACGGGAGGGAAATCTCACCCCCCTGGGTGTGCATGACCTTCAACAGACGGAGCACACAGCAGCCAGAAGCTTGTTCGGCTTACCCAACAAAACCACCAAACACTCCGACTGTCAGGTTCCAGGACATGAAGAGGGGAAAAGAATGGACCGTGTGAAGCAGGAACCCTGTAAGCCGATAAACACCTACGTGCAAAGGGAGCCCGTCTGTGCCGGCCTCAGGACAGGTGCCCATTTCCATCCTGGGGCTATTCTCCCCCCACTTCTCTTCCTGTTCCAGCATCTTCCCTCCGCCTGGAATGACCGAGAGCTGGCCAGGTGGCTGGAGGGAGGCCGGCCAGCCATCCCCAACAGTGCCCTGCGGATGCCACGCCTGGGATTCTGTCCCCAGCCCGTTCTTTGTAACGTCTTTCTTCACCCATGATTCTCGTTCCATTGGCACATGGATACATCTAAGTAAATGAGACAGATCGTGCTTTTCACTGTTGCTCTGGGCAACGGACTGACAGTAGCTGCTGCCAAGAGGCTGAAACTGTACTAACTTTTCAAGATCAAGATGCCAACTGGAGCCAGATGGAAAGAGAAGTAAAGAGGTTTTCATGCCTCGCCCCCAAGCTGTGCCTCAGACAGTACTTTTGCTGTTCCAGGCCCGCCCGCTGTCCTTACGATGCACGAGCTTCTGTTTGCTGAGCCTCTTGTAAGTCAGGCTAGGCTGGGTTCTGCCGCGGTAACAGGCACCCTCAGCAGCCCACTGACTTAGGACACTAAAGGTTTCTGTCTTGCTGTGCTGCACACCCAGCGCGGTCAGCAGGGGCTTTCTGTTCATTGTGGCCTTTCAGGGACCGTCTGCAGAGACTTCACATGCTCAGGCAGAGGAACAGTGTGGCAGGTGACACGCCAGCTACACGTGCCTACCTCCTCGCAGAAGGGACGTGGCGTGTGTCCCCTTGCTCACGTTTTACCGGAGAAACTATGGCACATGGCCACACCCAAGGGATGTAATCCCCCATTTCCAGAAGAGGAGACCCAAGGGTAGCTCTTGGTAACGCCTACCACACCGTTGTTTTGTAGCCGACACGGGCAACTCTCCCTCAGTGTCAAGAATTCGAAACAGTTCTCTGCTGAGCAGGTGTTGGGAGAGTTTCACTGTAACTAGCCAAAATGCCTCATGAAAATAGCATTCATTGTGGAGATGGGTGGAGAAAAATGTCTTAGAAAAGATGTTTCTCAGCCCAGCCAGTGTGGCTCAGTGGTTGAGCATTGACCCATGCACCAAGAGGTCGCCAGTTCGATTCCTGGTCAGGGCACATGCCCAGGTTGTGGGCCTGATCCCCAGTAGGGGGCATGCAGGAGGCGGCCAATCGATGTTTTCTCTCATCAATGTGTCTATCTCTCTCTCCCTCTCCCTTCCTCTCTCCCTATGTCAAAGTCAAAAAGATTTGTTTAAATAGGGATAAGAGAAGACTATTCCGTGGGGTGTTGGGAGGGCGGACACACTCTGCCTGAGGCCTGGGGCAGAGGAAGCTCTCGATCCACATGGCTGGCATTTCCGTTGGTGTCAGCTAAAGAGTCCGCAGGGAGAGCCTCTTACAAATGTGGTCGTCTGGTGTCTGGGGTCGCTTTTATTCCCAGGTCTGCCTGTCCATCTGGTCCAGGCCACAGCCCTGCTCGGTCTGAGCTCATATACCACGGCCCAGGTCTCCGAGGATTCTTCCCGGGCCCCAGCGACACGGGGTTGTCATCAGAAACGTTTCTAAGCAGCTCTCTGGGCGCGCTGCCGGGAAAAGGAGGGAGAGGGGGAAACAAAACAAAGACAGAAGCCTCTACCAGGGAGTCAGCTGTAGTTCATGACTCCACGCCTTCAGCTGGCACGTCAAAGACTGTGCACGAGGCCACACCAGAGGCCGCCACCGAGGCTGACTGGTCGATGCACGAGCAGGCTGCACACAGGACCCTCGCCGTAGATTCTGGCGTCGGTGACGTGCCAGGCGTCAGCCCGGTAGGCCCGATGTGGCTCACGGGGCCTTCCCCCAGACTCCAGGGGGGACACACTGTCGTCGTCCCTGTTGTACAGATGGGCCAGCTGAGGCACGAGAGGTGGAGTCACTGGCCTGAGGTCGCACAGGGAGAAGGGGCAGGATTTCAGCCCAGGCCACCTGGCGTTTGACTTCTGTTCCCCGCCACGCCGTGTGCCAGAGGGTGGGGTTGTTGAGTGGGGTCTCAGGTGACTGCAAATGAGTATACCTAGTCAAGACGATGTCCTCGGTAGTGAATGTTTCTGCGAGTGTGTGTGAAAGTGTGTGTGTGTGTGTGTGTGAATGTTTGAGTATGTGTGAGTGCATGCGTGAATGTGTATATGAGTGAGTGTGTGTGTATGAGTATGTGTGTGTGAATGTTTGAGTATGTGTGAGTGCATCTGAGTGTGTATATGAATGAGTGTGACTGTGAGTGTGTGCGTGTGCGTGAGAGTGTATGAGGGTGTGTATGAGTGTGTGAATGTGAGTGTGTATATGAGTGTGTGTGTATGAGTACGTATGAGTGTATGTGTGTGTGTGTATGAGTACGTATGAGTGTATGTGTGTGTGTGTGAGAGTGTATGAGGGTGTGTATGAGTATGTGTGAATGTGTGTGAGAGTATATGAATGTATGTATGAATATGTGTGAGTGTGTGTATGAGTATGTGTGAGAGTGTATATGAGTGAGTGTGTGTATGAGGGTGTGTATGAGTATGTGTGAATGTGTGAGTGTATATGAGTGAGTGTATGAATATGTGTGAGTGTGTATGAGTATGTGTGTGTGTATGAGTGAATGTGTGTGAATGTGTGAGTGTGTATAAGTGAGTGTGTGAATGTGTGAGAGTGTGTATGAGTGAGTGTGTGTATAAGTATGTATGAGAGTGTGTGTGTGTGTGTGAGTATATGAGGGTGTGTATGAGTATGTGTGTGTGTGAGAGTGTGTATATGAGTGAGTGTGTGTATGAATATGTATGAGAGTGTGTCTGTGTGTGTATGAGTATGTGTGAGAGTGTGAATGTGTGAGTGTATGAGTATGTGTGAGAGTGTGTATGAGTGTGTGTGTGTGTGAGCTGTGAACCTTGGCAGCTCTGTGGAGCAGTGAGTTCCAGCCTGAATTCAAAGGGGGCCTGGCTTCTGGCTGTCCTTGTTCAGACTGCTGCAAGCACAGGGTAGGCGACACCGTCGGGGGGGCGCGGTCAGTCTCCGGCCTTGGGAGGACCAGCAGCCGGACGTGGAAGAGTGAGCTGCTCCGGCCCGAGCCCTGTCCTCCCCCAGGGCCCTTCCGGGGCTCCCGGCCGTCTGTCCGCCTGGCTCAGAACCTCGGGGGAGCCCGGGCCCCCACGAGCCCCCGCTCACCCTGCTCTTTCTGCTTGCAGGCAACCTGGACATCACCCCGGACGACCCCCGCTGGATCGGAGCCTGGTGGGGTGGCTTTCTCCTCTGCGGTGCCTTACTCTTCTTCTCTTCCCTCCTGATGTTCGGGTTTCCACAGTCCCTGCCCCCGCACTCGGACCCCGCCGTGGAGAGCGAGCAGGCCATGCTCCCCGAAAGGGAATACGAGAGACCCAAGCCCAGCAACGGGGTCCTGCGGCACCCCCTGGAGCCAGACAGCAGCGCCTCTTGCTTCCAGCAGCTGCGAGGTAAGGCCCCGGGGCAGCCGGAGGCGTGGGGACCGGCTGGCCGTTGGGACTGGTCCCTGTGGGACCGGAGGCAGCATTGCCCTTGTTTTGCATGTCGGACTCGGGGACCTCACTTGCAAAGTAGCCACCAGTTAGGGCTGGCCAGCAGGCTACCGTCCCCAGGACACAGCCCCGTGGCCGGCACAGCAGCCGATGGATGATACACAGAAATGTTGGCCAAAGGAAGAGAGTGACCGGGCAGGAGGAAGCCAGACATTTCAGGGGATGCTCCTGAACTCTCCTCGCGCCATTTGTCAGCACGTCGAGACATGAGCAGGACTTTGGAAGTTGGCTCCCTTTGCCTGATCCGGGCATTCTTCACCAGCCCCACCCAAAGTGCCTTGTTTGAGGTCGCTCTGCCCTCCCCCCCTCCCCCCATGAACGATGAGAGATGTGTTCCTCTGGAAAGAAACAGTAACTCAGTCCAAACAACAGAGACACAGTGTAGACTGTAGCAAAGCGCTCGCTGTCATTGATAAAAGAAAAAACGTATCTTTTCTGACAACGCAGGGAGATACAATGATGCAGAATGAGAATGAGAACCGCCCCCTCCCCACCAGCTGGTTCCACATTTGATACCTCAGGTCCCCTAAAGGCCCGCGTGGCCTCAAAAACGGCTTCGTGTCTGTCACGTCCCCCACCGGGAGGCGTGTGCCCTGCCCCCAAATTCACGGGACCCCTGAGTTCAGGTCCCCTGAGGAACCTGCTGCGTTTGAGAAATGAGCAGACGCGCGGCTGGACGTGGAGAAAGGGGGACAGTCCCCTCTTTGCAGGGCCTGGGCGCACGGCCAGGCGAGCTGTCTGCAGCGGCAGACGGTGCGCCTCTCTTTCCTGAACCCCTGGATAATGAGGTTCGTGCGCCTTCCGTGGGGAGGCCGGAGCACGAAGCAGGGAACCTCAGGCTGCCTTGTGCTCAGACCCCTGCTCTGTGCCTCACTAGCCCTGCGATCACTGACTTCTCCCCGCCTCATTACCGCACGAGGGACAGGGCAACGCCACTCCTGAGTGGCATGTGGTCGTGAGAAATCATACCCATTAGGCGGCGAGGAACCGAAAGAACTTGGGTGCATTTCCAAAAGAGACTAATTTAGTCACCGAAGGCCGTGTCTGACCCCATGTTCCATGATGGCGTCCGACAAACGTCCAGTCTGGAATTGTGCACAGAGGGTCTCTAATGTCATCGCCCTGAGTTCCGGGTGACATTGGCAGACGAGAAGGCCACTCGCTGTGTGTCCCTGAGGTTGTCTTGGCTTGGACAGCCTGGAGTGTGTGCTTAATCAGCGAGCCCCCCAGGGAAAAACAGGGCCACTTCAGTAAGGCCTGGCCACCAGGGGTGAAGCCAGCTGCTCCCCTAGTAGCACACATGGACAAATGGGGCTGGCATGAGAGTGGACCTTGGTGGGGGACACCCTTGCCCGGGGGAGGGGAGGCAGCAGTCTTTCTAGGTTCTTCCTCATCCCAGGATGACGGTCCTGCCTTCCTATAGCTGTGATTATTAGAGCTGTACAGATAATCTCTCATCATGCATCTCTGCGTATATAAAGAGGAAAAAGATATAAATGTGCCATCAGAGAGCTCGCCAGCCATTGTCGGCACCACTCAGCCAGCCAGCTCAGCCAGCCCAGGGCGCTGAGCATGGGGGGACCGGCAGGGACACCCCCTGGTCAGAGACAGCTGAGCTGGGTCTTGGGGGGGTGTCACAGCTCCGGGATTCTTGGATTAGGGTTTAGTTGCCCGTCAACTCATTTGTTCAATTCAGTCACTGTTTACCAAGACCCTGCTGGGCTTTGGGGCCACAGTGCTGACCAGGGCAGCTCGTATCCCTGAGCTGGCCTTGGACGGGGAAGCCTGCAGTGGGCAGAGCCAGGCCATGACGTGCGGTGGCTGAGCCGACAGCTTCACAGTCGGGTCGGTCTGTGCGACACTCACTAGAGCACAGGCGGTCGCACGTTGTGACCTGTATACACGTGGGCTCCGCTGCCGACGATTGATGACTTTTCATTTCGAATCAGCAATTCGCCCGGCGATAGGTCTCTGCGTGGCCGTGAAGGATGCCCCGGCGGGGAAGGGGGGCAGTGTCTCTAGAACAATCCCCAGGAGCCAGAGTACGGCGAAGGGGTCTGTTAGCCTAACAAACAGTCTGCACGCACCGGCTCTTGGAGAGGGAGCCACAGTACTTTCCCATCCTTCATTTTCCCCGCTGGGACAGCGTTCTTGCCGTGGGGACATTTCCACCCATAGCGCCGGGCACTGCCCCCTGGTGGTCCCAAACTCAGCCCCTTGCAGCCCTGGGAGCCGGGTGGTCTCCCCGCAGTGTGGGCACATTCCTGGCGCAGGTCAGCTGAGCGCCACTGCCCACCGCAGGGAAATTCACGCGGCTCCAAACCTCTGCATGTCGCAGCGTCTCAGTCAAGTCACTTGAGCTGGCGAACGGTCCCTTCTCTGGCCATTAATCCGTGTCCCCTGCCATGCTCTGCAGAGCGCAGCGGCTCCCGGGGTGAGCTGGCATTGCCCCCAGAGCAGCCCCTCCATCCCCTTCCCGCCAGGACCAGGAAGGTCACCCCAGCTCCGGGAAGCCGGGGGACTGCTTGCTTGGGTTCGAGTCCAGCTCAGCCACTTCCGAATCAAGCAGCCTTGGCCAGGTCCTTCAACTCCCTGTGGCTTTAACGTGGCGTCTGTGTTCTCGTTTTTCCTCTCTGGAGGTGCAGAAGCCACCTGCGCGTGATGTAGGCGTCGGGGCCTGTGGGGCACTTTTCAGGGTACTCTCCCCCAAAAGCAGACTTGGAGGGTCTACGCCCAACAAAGGCGGTCGTCAGTTGGGTTTGCGACACTTATAAGAAAGACCAGAGTGCTGTTTCGAGAAGGGTGTGGGCGGGTTGCCACTCCTTGATTAGCCCAGAAGTCCCCACCTCGCTGTGACTGTCAGGTAAGCGTCTTGCACAGCGGGAAGCAGGCGAACAGATGCTTGGACTGATGAAATCCCAGCCCCCCTCCGGGAGGAAAACAATCCAAGGCACGTTTTTGCAGCTCAGCTGTGTCGACAGCAAACAGCTTCCCCTCTGCACCCAGCTCCGAAGTCCCTCAGATGCCCAGAGCGGCTGCAGAGCCCTCGTCCAGGACCCCGCCCGGCGCCTCCCTCCTCTGTGTGCAGAGGTGTCTGCTCCTCCCCTTTCCTGCGCGGGGAGCCGAGGGGGCCGGGCTGTCCCTGGTGCGCCTCCTGAGGAAGCCCAGAGTTTGCAGAATGGTTCTTGAAAGGCTGGACTCAGGGAGGGAGGAACTCGGGCTGTAACAGACAAACGCACAGTGGCATTGTTGGCTTGCCTCCACGTTCTGTGTCTCATTGGACATTGTCTCCTGTGTCACTTGCCCTGAAGGGGCCTTGCTGGTAGGGATCTGCGCCCCTTCCCCCTCGTGTGCTGTAGGGTTACTCCTCTTTGGTGCCATTTCTCCTGGCACGTCCTCCTCCCTTGGTCCACTTCTGAGCTGGACTCGGTCCCCACAGCCCCTCTGTGCGCACACCCTCATTGCCCTGCAGGGTGTTAGCCGTGGTCCCCTGTGGGCCACACAGCCCCTGCAGAGCCTCTCTGCTGGTCTGCATCTGCCCAGACGGGGGCTTCTCCAAGGACAAAGCTCTCGGAAAGTAGCTGACGTTGCACGCACGGTCGCACGCATGAATGACAGTCTTGCTAGCACGCGTGTACGTGTGCATAGCTCACACACAGCTAACGTCTGCTCCCCGCGCCCTGTTATAGTTAATCCCCCGGCCCTGTAAGGCGTCGGTCCCATTGGACAGATGAGGCTCAGCGTCTTCGAAAGCAGCCCCAACACGTGGGGGGAGCGTGGTTAGGGACTTCCGAAGGACCTGCACGGACCTCCTACGTCTGCAGTCGCTGAGGTGGGTGCAACAGTCCTGTGCCAGCCATCAGGACGAGACCCAGGTCGCCAGACTCTACATTTGGAGCCCTTTCCAGTGTTTGGCACAAGGGTTCGCTCAGCTGTTAATGAGCCAGCGGAGGAGGAAGAGGGGAGTCGGCCTGGGGTCGATGAAACAGCAGCCCCGTTTTGTTCCTGACACGCAGCTCCCACTCAGGAGCTCTGTGCTTTTAGACGAGACAGAATCCACCTGGCACGACCCCCTCGCCACCCTCCTTGCCCTGCCGGTGCCGTCGTTGCTGGGTTCTGCTGAGCGTGTCCCCTCAATCTCTCTCCAGCCCGCTCCTGGTGTCTCCTGCACCCAGTCTGCCCTGATCCCTCGGTCTGTTATTCGCACGGTGACAGCTTCAGGACCCCGCGGACCCTGTTGTCATTTTCTGCCTGAAGGGACAGAGGCAGAGCCCGTCGCGTGTGCCCAGCCCGGCGATATTCAGTCCCTCCAGCCTCATGTCACCCCCCAGCCATCCCATCCCCCACCCCAGCCTTCCCTCCCCTCCCAGGCATGTGGCTCTTCGTCACGTCACGCCGTTACCTGTAGACAGGTAATGATTCATGTACTCGGTCAGTCCCCCAGGGAGGGTCTGTGTCCGCTTCGCTCATGCCTTGTTCGTAGGTCTCGGTATGTGTTTGATAGACGGAGGGATCCTTGGATCGCTGGGCACACCCTGCCCGGCCCCACTCAGTGTGTGGCTTTCCCTAAAGCATCCCCACCCCCAGCCCCTTCCCAGAGTTTTGACCTGTGTCTGACCCACCCAGGGCCCTACAGTGACCCTCCTGTGTGGACGGGTCTACTCTGAGTCCCAGAGAGCGTGTGGCCCGGTGGTTCAGGCTGGTGTGTGCTCGTGGCGTGGGGCTGGGTGGCTTCTGGGCCGCGGTGCACACCGCCCTCGCCGCTGCCCCCCACAGTGCGGCAGGGGCCCCGCGTGGGACCCAGCTCCTGCCCCTGGCGTCTCCATTTCTGCCCCCTCCTTCCTCTGCCAGCTAGCCGTCTGTTTCTGCTCCGGCCGTCATCACGGCCTGTGCGTTTC